CCAGCGAACTCTATTGGACGAAGGGATCATTGTGGCGGTGGGCGGCAGGCACGACGCCTTAGGCGAGCCGACAAGGTTGATAGCCTTTGGTCAGGCTACCGTCCTAAAACATCTGCCTGCAATACACTAGCCGTTGTGCAGCTTTCGCAGGGAAGTCGACAGTGAGCCCCAAGGCAGAACGGCACGAGTGGGTCCCTTAATCAATCCGTGAGCATTCATTCGCCATTTTGCACGCGTGAACGAGACAAGACCGAATCACACCAGCCCTAGATCTTGACGAGCGCTTCGAATGTGGAGGCCGTCGATCGTCTTCTAAAACCCCTTGGAGTTGTAGTTGCATACAGGCCAGAAGCTCCTATCAGACGCAAAGTAATGAAACAGAACGACTAGCTGCTACGGCAGTACACATCGGAAGTCTCATTTCTCATTTTAGTCATGGCGCACCAAATATAAGGTCATCTAAATAATTATTCTTATTGCTGAGCAATGTCCACAAATTTTGCTTTTAAGCCAGCCCACGTCGTCAATGGACCTAGGTACTAGGTCAGTAAGCTGAGAATTCAAGTCTTCAAATTGTGCCTCAATTTCAACTGGGACACAAAAGTCTAATCCCAGTGATAAAGCCTCTGACTGTAGCTTAGTAAGTTTAATGTCGGAAAATTTGAGAATAATTTCGTCTGCATCCAGTGGAAAATTTTCGTCAGTATATTTCTTGTATAATGACTTCTCGTATTTAAAGCGGTATGATTCTCTTATCTTTCTTTGTATGATGCATGCATTTTTCATAAACAATAATCAACAAAAGGAACTTATGTTGTCTAGAGCGTGTTTTGTCTGATGCAGGTGATTCGTGTCAGTGCAGATAGCCAACAATGAGCCCTCAATTGTCGATTGAGGCACAAATTGAAGACTTGAACTCTCCATTGTTCCCATTATTTTCTGCTTTTATTCGCTCTAATTTATAATTTTTTCCTTCCCCTAATATGACCAACCCATAAAACTCCTATTACGATCGGTTCTGTAAGACCGAATCCGGGGGCTAGGAATATCTAAGCTTGTCGGCCAACTTTATTGCTGCCGCCGT